AGAGAAGAAATTAAAATATAAAATTTTAAGCATCGAAATTCAGCGAATGTGGAACATGAAATGTTTTGTGATACCAGTAATTATTGGAGCCACGAGTACAATCACGAGAGGGTTCAGAAAATATTTGGAACTAATTCCTGGTAAGCACTCCATAGATTCACTGCAAGAAACAGCTATCCTGGGAACATCACACATACTACGGAAAGTGCTACAGTGCGAAGCCTGAAGCCTGAGTGGTAAGGTGCATCACTGGTTCAAGAAAAGGAATACCAGGAAATCAACCTGTGACAAGAGATGATGATGATAATAATAATAATAATAATAATAATAATAATAATTAAAACATGGTCACAACTGCACTGGAAACAAGAATATTCCATTATGACCGTGGGAAACCTTACCCTTACCAGCCAGACAGAAGACTCTCCAAACATAATTTAGAAATACGAAGTCCGAAACAGAATTTCAGTTCCAAGTCCTGTGGCTGCTGGTAAGCAACCACTCGTGAGTAGCTCTACCTTCAGACTGCTGACACACCTACTTCTGAGACAATCATGGAGAGGGAAGGAAGGTCACATGGTCAAGATAGGTAGAAATAATGGTAAAGACGTCAGTATAATGGCGGTAGGGATGGGGGTTAAGGAATGGCAGGATGCCAGGATGCAACACGCATGAGCCAACTGAGTACAGCATGGCTAAGAGCCACAGAGAAAGCCTTGTCTCCAATATTTTCTCTGTTAGCTTACTTTCCCTGTTTGTATGTGTAACAGCTCAGTAAATACATTCCCACACTAGTGAATACACACAACAATTGAAGAATTGCTGGACAAGTCGTTTTCTCTGCAGTCCATTTCATATGTAAGGAAAGTAGGTGATTAATTCTTCCCACAACTACGTATTAAGATTGTTCTGCTTTCGTATGATGAAACGTGAACATAGACTTAGTTATCTATGTTTGGTTTTAAATCATAAGTATGTTTTTGTCTCATAGAAAAGACCACAGTTCCTATGGACTTTTTGTACTCTATTGTTGCTACCCCCATCCACAAAAATAGCATAAATATATTTTCTTCTCTTTCTTTACTGTAATAATTTTTTTCATTGCATACTTGTAGGTCCTGTCATGCTGATTATATTTTGTCCTCCAAATAGAGATTTCTTGTTTTTTAACTGCCAAAGACCAGTTTTGTAAATGTAGCAGCCCAACAGTGATGCCAACTCATGATATCAATACAATATAGCATGCTGTAAAGCAGTGGTATTCAACCTTTTTTGTTTGCATACCCCCAGATGTAATTTCTCTTCAGCTTTGTTACCCCCAAAAGTTGTTGGTGTATAATTGAAGTTATGCACATCTATAATCTATGTCTAAAATAAATTACGCCATAGCTCAAATGGTTAGTTGCTGGCTTCCCATCATGGCGGTCCGGGTTTGATCCTGGGTCTGGTCAAGTGGGATCTGTGGTGGACAAAGTGACACTGGGGCAGGTTTTCTCCGAGTACTTCGGTTTCCCCTGCCAATCTTCATTCTACCAATTGCTCCACAATCACCCTCACCTATCATCTGGGGCTGGTACAATAGACCAGAAGTGGCCACCACTAGCAATAAAATAAATTAAGTAAATAATATACAAAATAATGTATTAAATAATCAGTTTCAAGTGAGAAAAAGTGTCAGGGTATTAAATAACAAATATATTATTATCTATCATAAAAAAATAATAAAGAAACAAAAGGTATTTTAGCAAAGCAAAATTGTATGATTAAATATTTTATCAATTATTAATATGGTTGTGACCTGTTAATGAGGTGATTGAGCTTGTTTCTGGTAAGCCAGTACCTCAATTTGGGGACAAAATCTAATTTTACGTGCCCTGTAAGATGTCTTTGCGTGCCCCATTGCTGTAAAGGATTCAAAATAATGATTAAAAGTTATTTTACTTCAACATTAGTGTACTTTTTCAGCACTGTTTCAAAGAGCATAGTATATTTTTATGTTGTGTGCAGTATTTTAAATGATGGTTATGCATCTGGTATGGAAATAAAATGTGGCCACATACTGAAATGCAAGGAGTGTCAACTTGTGTTAAATGTATTTTGGTACATGAAGGCATGAAGTGAAAGTGTGGGGTGGGTTGCAGTTGAAACTGATATAGTATAGCAGCAGGTACTTCAAGAGCCTGTGTTTCTAAAATCTGAAAGAAGAAGAATGAGATCTATTTGTGACTACAAGCAAAAAGGACTACAAGGAGTAACATGCGAAGAGACTGCAGACATCCAAAATTCAGCGATTTTGATGGAAGCTGAATATGGCAGGTTTGTGAATTCTTCTTTAGAAATGGACTGCCAGTGTTGAACTCTGTATTGGCAGCCACAAACACCGATCCTGAGCAATCAGCCTCATTTTAAAAGAAGAACTCTTCAGATTACTTTAAAGGAGATGCATTTTATTGTGAAAGAAAGGGAAATAAAAGAATATCAGTAGGAAGGGTTGCCATTGTCTGTTGGTGTAACAAATACATGAAGTGGATTAAAAACAAATATGAGTGAAAATTGAAATATTGTGTTCACAGATGAATCATAGTGAATACAAAGGTCAGTTCAAAAGGTTCGAAAATATAAGAAAATCTCCCAGACAAACTTTTCTGGCATGACTTTCTGCTGGGCTAAAGACTGTACAGGTCATGGTCCATGTTTTGCAGTAATACATGCCAGCATTGAAAATGGATTTGTGCTGAACACAAAATTTTGTGTTAAAGATGTTATTGATGCACATGATGAAATGGATGGCGACTACTGTGAAATGTATTTTGCAGAAAAGCTGCTTCCTAACCTGCCTCCACATTGTGTAATTGTTGTCAACAGTGCTTCATACTGTAGCAGAAAAAGGGAACAGTTTCCAACAAAGTCTTGGAAAATGGACACAGTGCCAAGGTATGTAGGACCTGTTGCTGTTCCTTGTATTTTGGTAATGTCTCTTAACACTAGTACTCATATCTCACCTTTAGCAGTTTCTCTCATCATCCAATTTGCTTCCAGTACTGATCATGTACTTCATTATGGCTTGAACTGTACTTCATAGTGTGTCAACTGAGTTCTAGTACAAGCATATGGCAACATTGTTGCTGTAAGAACTCTGGTCTTTTCTAAAAGCTAGATGGGTAATATCATCTGATAGCTAAATACATATGTTTGATATATGTTTTTTTTTAAGGTATTTATGTTTTCACTCAATAACTTATTATCAGCATAGACTAGAAGTTGATGTGTCTCATTCAGTTTCAGCCCCAATTTTCTTGGGGATTTCTAATGGTGTATTCAAATTTAAGCTTAAAAAGCATTAGCAATAAAGCATCTAAAAGTTTGCGATGATTGTACATTAGTACAAATATTATGTTTCTGGACATTATTTATCATCCTGTTTTCCATCTAAAACACCTTCTTGTTTATATATCAAAACACGCTTTGGAGACTGGATTCTGTCTCCATCTTCAGGTAAAACCTACTCAGTTTGGCTCAGTCATTAGAGCCAGTCCCTCATATTTGTAATAAAGCATCTGTTTGTTTCAGATCATTCTGAATAGGAAATCCAACATTCCAGTGGTTACCCATACAAATTTTAATTAACCTGACTGCTTCATGGGTTTATCATGTTCAAGAAGAACAGTGTACAATTCTGCCCTCCAAAGTGATTTATAGACATCATGAAGTGTGTAAGCAATGGATGTACTGTCCCATTGTAGTCCCATTTTTTTCCTCCAATATCTGGCATGCATAATATATCAATGGTTGATCTGTTACATCAATATTCACACTGATTTCATCTGCACATTGAGTTATGCCTGAGATAAAGTTGGATTAAATTAATTGATGACAGTGATATGCATTGATAATTACAGCAGTCAGTTTTTTTTATTACTAGTGGGGTGGGACTAAGTCCCTTGTACTGCGGCCACTTCTGGCCTATTGTACCAGCCCCAGATGATAGGTGAGGGTGATTGTGGAGCAATTGGTGGAATGAAGATTGGTAGGAGAAACCGACGTACTCAGAGAAAACCTGCCCCAATGCCACTTTGTCCACCACAAATCCCACTTGACCAGACCCGGGATTGAACCCGGGCCACCGCGGTCGGAAGCCTGCGAATAACTGCTTGAGCTGTGGCGCGGCCCCAGCAGTCAGTTTACTCTACCTCATACCTTAAATTATTTCTGAATTGAAACCTTAAAACTTGCATTCCCATAGGGAAGTAATATATTCATTTTTCCAAATTTCCGAAGAATTGGAATCAGACAGGGGAAAGGGTAATAAAATTTCATAATTATACTTTTGAAATATGTCAGAACAGCCAGATCCTGATGGCCAGACAGGAGAAATGAGGATCAGTATTTTGTGGCATCTTACTATGGCTGCCACTCCAGTTGGTGAACAAGATCAATTTCTTGTGTTATATTGTTTATTCTAAATTTATATATGGGACATGCATAAGATAATGGGTAAGATTCAGATTTGTAGAGAGATTAATTATGTCTTACTAATTATGTTGATCATAACTTCTGATGTGGATTACAATTTTCTTTTTGGCACGCGTGACTGAGTGAGAGTGCCTGAGCTCTAGAAGCCAGCTTCCAAATGCAAAATAAGAAATTAGCTGCCATCTAAAGCTTTCATACAGCCATATTTCATGTTCCCTGTCATATGACATAATAACTTTAAATCTGCAATAGTTTCCTAACACATTTCTTATTCACAAATTTAAGGAAATGCCCTTTTTTTAAAGTGAAAAGTAAAATAATCTTCCTGTATACCAGTCATGTACATTATTAAACTTATTAAAAAACTCAGAATTTCAAAATTTCAAAATAATATCTGCTAACTTAGTAGTGTTGGAAGTCTGCTACTGGAAATTTTATGTGAAGAAATATGGAAATTTTATCCAGTAATAACCCCAGTAGGTAGTGGCACAGTTTCCATGTGCTATTAATCAGTTCTTTCTTGGCAGGTTATCAGCAATCGTGCCATTGAGATCTTGGGAGGCAAGCTGGGTACTAAAACTCCTGTCCATCCAAATGACCATGTCAACAAGAGTCAGAGTTCAAATGACACCTTCCCTACTGCTATGCATATTGCTGTAGCATTGGAGATTCATAACACTTTGGTGCCAGGTCTAGAGGCATTGCAGAAAGCTTTGGCAAATAAAGCAAAAGAGTTTGAGAATATCATTAAAATTGGAAGGACCCATCTTATGGATGCTGTACCTCTAACATTAGGTCAAGAATTCAGTGGTTATGCAACACAATTGCAATATGGAATTGATCGTGTAAAGGACACACTTCCAAGACTATATCAGTTGGCTCTGGGTGGAACAGCAGTGGGTACTGGTCTCAATACCAGGATTGGATTTGCTGAGAAGTGTGCCAGCAAGATCAGTGAGCTTACAGGTAATGATTCAAGTTATTAATAGTTCTTATTATCCTATTGACTGCACTGTGTTGTTTGAATCTGAACTGCAGGCTTTTGTTGTCTTCAGCAGTGAAGCATTTGAAACATCTTAGATATCACTAATAATTACTGTCATAAATTCGTAAATATCTAAACCAACAATACAGGCCTACATTGTAAACTTACAACTAGAGTGAAAGTCTTCAGGCATTTTAGCATATTTTCGTTATTTTTATAGGAAAAGATAGACTTATAGAATCATGATGTTTTTATATTCATCCTTCTATATGAGAAGAGATAGGGAAACATGTAGCTTAACAGTAAGTGTGATAGTCATGGCTGTTAAAGCAGTGCTTGGGCATTGCAGTAGAGTTCTGGTATGCAGTTTGAATCTTCATTCCTAGTCTTGTCTTTCTTTAAATTACTTGAGTAAACTTTAATTCTAGCTATATATGTTATAATGGCAAGGAAGGCAATCATATGCTAAAATTTGGTACTAGTGCTCGCATGCGAGTAATGATCATGAGTTGACTTTTCCATGTAAAGTTCCTCTTTTGATGGTTTAATTGACCTTCCAAGGGCTTTTAAAGAAGGATAACAGTGTTCTCATTACCCATATTGTATTGGGTCCATGCCAATATGTAATACAGGGAATCTGAGAAAAGTGAAAAATTTATATGTGGAAAAGTACTGTTTATACATGCCATGCTAGGAAACTGACTCTTCCAGTCCACTTTTTTAGAGAGAGTTCATTTAAAAATTGCTGGACAGTATTTTCAAAATGTTGGGAGTGGTCAGTCCTGCTTGAACGATGCACCACAAGCCTGTGGCATTGTATAGTGTTCTGATATGTCCAGGTATGAATGTTTATCGCTGATCACTGTGGTCGCACAGTCTAAGGCATGAACTGTCTTCGCTCGCTTGAACACTGGGATTGTGGGTTCAAACCCCACTGAAGGCACAGATGTCTATGTGTGCATTTATTCTGTGTTTATGTTGTCCTCTGTGTAGACCTTGCGATGGACTGACCACTTGTTCAAGGAGTCCTACTGTCCATAAAAGAGATTTTGAAACCGTAGAAGAGGTCAGGACCCTACAAAGGGCTGTAGAGACATTGATGACTGAATGAATGAATGAATATCACCATTGTTTTCTGAATGAGAAGGGTCCAGTGATGCAAGCTTTTATCATGTCACTTCACACTTTAACCTTTGGCATATTCCATTGATGTTTGACAAATTCTTGAGGTGGCTGGCTACCCCAAATCCTGCGGTTATGTTCATAATACCACTCAAAAGGAATGCTGCCCCATAAAAAAATACACAGAGTCCAGGAAAATATCATCACTGTCAATTTTCTGCAGCATTTTTCATAAAATGTCTGCAGGCACAGCCAGCTGGTTTGATATGCTATCGCATTTGCAGTTTGTATGCACATAAACATAAATATTTGTATACAGCATTATGAACTGTGGATTTGGGAAAATGCAGCTGCCTGCTTGCTCTGCAAATTGACTTGCACAGGCTATGTAGAAATGCTCGTTTAATGTGCTGCTTGTCTTTGTTGATGTTTTTGGATGTCCTGGCAACTATAATTTGCAACACTTCAGTCTCTCTCACACATCTATCCTACATGCACTGACTCGGTTTATGCTGAAATTGTGTAACAGATATCAATTCCACAAGCCACAAAATGACCGTTGATACTGACATAAACAACATTTTGGAACTTTAAGCTACTTTATGCCAAGATTCTTTCCTCTGTATAATAGGTATCTTTCTGTATGTTTTTTTCCACATTTTTTGTTGGATATTCTGTATGTCACAAAATATTTGCTTTTAACAGGTCTTCCATTTGTTACTGCTCCAAACAAATTCGAGGCTCTGGCAGCACATGACTCTATGGTAGAAGTGTCTGGAGCATTGAATACTATAGCTTGTAGCTTAATGAAGATAGGAAATGATATTAGACTCCTTGGATCAGGACCTCGATGTGGTTTGGCTGAGATCATATTACCAGAAAATGAACCTGGAAGCAGTATCATGCCAGGTGAGTATGTAATTGCAAAGTTTGATTCATTTTGTAACCACGAGATGTCTTAAGTGAGTGGAGTTTTACCTTGTGTTTGTCATCAGCACTGTGCATTGCAGTCTATTGGCACAAGGTCCTTTCCCTGATCTGACATTTATATTCGGTCAAATTCAGGTGATGGTTCCCTTACTGTCCAAATGGCATAAGGCGGTTCTGAATGTTTGTAACAACATTCCAGTGCTATATAAATATTATGTTTCACATTGTTCATCATCTCAAGTGTATTTAAAATACATGACATTTCATAAATTTGATATGCTTCCATGATCAGATATAACTGGGGAAAGGATAGTTCTCAGCTGAGCCCATTGGAAGAAGCTAGTCTTGATCACTGGGCTCGTAACCAACCAAACTGAAAGATCCTTTCCCCCAGCTACAATAGAAGTGAATCCAGCTTCTGAAATGTTTTTTATTTTAAATATACCTAAGGTGATGGACAGTGTCCATTATAATACTTGCGTAATGAACAGACTATTGTCACATGCCTTCAGAGGGTTGTTTCAGCATTGCTACTTGAGAATTTTCTTTGGAAGTTGTGCATTTTCTTACTAATGTCTGTGATATGTTAGAGACTACTCTGTCTCCATCTTCCTTGTTCTTAGGAATGTCTTTATCTAATAGACCTAATAGAGTAGATATCCTGTCCTGCCAAAGCTGCAGATGGAGCAACCTGCCAAAATACCTATACAGGGTGTATTGGAAAGTTCCTGGACTAGGTCAAAAAAGAGATGCTGGCATAGCTTACTCAATTTTGGTTGCCATCTCCTTCAGAATAGTTTCCATGGGAAAGTATATGGTGATACCATCATTTTTTCCACACTTAAAAAGCACTGTGGAAGTCATTTTCCTTAATGCTGTCAAGTACTGCTTGTGATTCCCTTTGGAACTCGGACACGATTTCAAAACGGTGTCCCTCTAGTTTAATTTTCAATTTGGGAAACAGAGCGAAATCACAGGGGGCGAGGGCAAGAGGGCAAGTAGCGAGGAAGGGGAATGATAACCATGTTGTTGTCAGTCACAAACTGTGGTTTTCATGGGTGTGTGGGTGGGCACATTGTCGTGATGATGGAGCCAGTTGTGGTTATGCCAAACTTCGTGTCTTTTTCGTCGCACATTTTCTCTCAAGCATCTCAGAACGTCACAGTAAAAGTCAGAGTTAATCATAGTGTTAGAAGGAACACAGTGAACAATCCCCTTCACGCCCCCCCCCCCAATCATGCTCTTCGTTGGACTCTGGACCTACTGTGTTTTTTTTTTTCTTCTTCTTTTTTTCCCTTGGTGATTGTGGGCTCTTCCACTATGACAATTGTTTCTTTGTTTCTGGATCATAAACGCAAGTCCAACTTTTGTCAGCCACTATGATCCTAAAGATAAAAGTTGGGTCCTCATTAGCCTTCTTACATAGCTTCATACGTATAGCTCAAGACATGTTTACTCACAGCTGCTTTTGATCATTTGTCAAGAGTCGGGAAACAAACTTCATGGCAGTGCGACACATGTTCAAAATTTATGTTAAGATCTCCTGGTAAACCCCATAATTGATCCCAGCAATATCTGTGAGCTCATGGATTGTTTGGTAATGGTCTTTGTGGGTGATTTCTCAACTTTTTTCAACATTTTCTGACGTTTTGCTGGTGCTTGGTCACCCTGAACCTTGGTAATCTTCATCTGACACTCAACTGGCCTTGAAACATGAATGCCATTCTAAAACCACTATCTGGCTTAAAGAACGTTTTTCCAAATTCCTCATGAAACATTTGAAAGGTTTTGGTAGCAGATTTACAGAACCTCATGCAAAGCTTGATGTAGACATGTTGCTAAGATCTGCCATCCATCATAAACAAAACATAACATGAAGTCGATAAAGCACTTGTGTAAGAACAATGTATGTTCACAGCATAGTGTCACATGGCAGACTGATTTAATAGGCTTGCGGAAGTGTGGCCTTGACCTACCCTGTCATCATCTTTCACCGAGGCAGTTACAACAATAACAGTCCAGGAACTTTCCAATAGTACATGTTGGCTTACAGATACAGATATATCATGTTTGGATATAAATATGCCACAGCCTTAATCATTATAATTCACAGTCATCATCCTGTTTCATATGAGACTATATAATTGCAGCAGTTGACATGGTATAGTGACAGAATTCGTTAAGTAAACAAATGGAAAGAAAAGAAACTGGCTGTACTGGAGAGTTGACAGAGAAGGCTGAGGGCTATGTATATATCTAAATAGACTGTAGCAACAGGATACAGCCATTAACTCTCAGCATGCTGGTGACAATGAAACAAGACACTGTGCTAACATACTTTGTACAAGTTTGATTTGTATAACAACACAGCGCGCCTTGAACATCAACAGGACAACAGGAAAGAATTCTCTTCTCCAAATAACAGAACCACAAGGTGATACACGCTTGGCTTCCCTCAAAGAGAAGAAATAAAAAGAACACAAACCAACTTGGTTCAAAAAATGTTAACAAAACCTTTTTAAAGATACTGTCGCGTATTGGGCGTATAACCGTATAACGCGACAATTAACTTCACGAGGTATTTGATGTAGCGAATTTTATTTCACATTCGCACTTACAATCACCCAAATTACAGATTTACGATTACTGCTATCTGCAGTATCACAAATAGTACACTCCAAATGCCAGAATACAACTGACTGGTTGCTGGCTAACTCGGAACTAACTCGGAGGTAGCTCGAGGACTGACTCGTAGGTAGCTCCAGGACTAACTGTGAATAGCCTTCGCTGCGCCTCTTGTAGCCTCAATTGGACAATACAGAAAACGGTCACGTAATAAGCACCCTTGTTGCCTGGCGCTGTGTTGCTAGTAACGCTAGCGGTAGTAACCGCTGTTACCACCGTCGTCTCTCGCAATCCCGTTTACCCGTGCTGCCCTTGGTGACGTCGTCGCTGTTGACTCGCTTTGCATAGCTTCAAGGTTGCGGGGACTCGGCTAACGTCGGCTCCGCTCATGACGTCACCGCGGGGGGAGTTGCGGGGTGATTACTCGCCTATTACGCGAGCGCTACGTTACCGCTACGTGCAGCTGGGGAGGTAGGGGTCAACATGTCACACTGCTCCCTCCTTAAGGC